GACACACACACACACACACACACCCGCCTCCCCTGGGGGACAAACAACAGAAACCATGGGGGAAGGGAGCTAGGGGTCAGTGTCAGATATGAAAATAATAATAATTTACAATTTATCAAGGGGTCGTGGGGGGAGTTGATACCAAGGGCTGAATAGAAAGGAAGTGTTTAGATAATGACGGCAACATGTGTGCAAATATGCTTGATACAAAGGATGTATGGATTGTTTTAAGAGCCCCCAATAATTAAAAAAAAGAAAAAGATTGAGTGTGAGGAGGCTGGTGGGATAGTTGTTAAAACTCAGCCTCAGAAGAAGACGATATTTTCAAATTCCATCCACTTAATACTTCCTAATCATCACTAAGGGCATGCTTTTCCCACCTAGTAAGTAATTAAAATGTAAATCCAGCATCTGGGGCAGAAGTGTCCTTTCCATTTTGATGAAAGAGTATGCATGATTTAAGCAGGCACTTTTGAGGATGAGGTAAAACCTAGACCCTTTCATGTCCAGTGCAGCTCGAGACTCGGCCGAGGGCTGGCAACGTGGTGCCCACCGTCACTCCAGGGGAGTGTTAGGCCAGTGCCCACCGTCACTCCTCCAGGGGAGTGTTAGGCCAGTTCCCAGCACAACGAACTTTATTAAAGCCACCAGGGCTGCACCTTAGGAGCCTTTGAGCAAAGGTTGAGATGTTAGGTTTGGTAAGCGTATTACAGTTTGTGTATGGAGTGGAGATGGAAAGGAGTCCTGGAGGGGCCATAAGGGGCCCCGTTGGTCCTGTGAGATAAATGTTGCACTGCTTACCAGAAGGTCAGCAGTTCAAACCCCCCAGCCACTGCTTGGGAGAAAGAGGAGGCTGTCTGCTCCAGCCTTGGAAACCCTAGAGCGGGGTGCCCTGAGTCAGAATCAAGAGCAGGGGGGTTTTGTTTGTTTTCAGAGGGGATCTTGGTGGTGTGGTGATTAAAGTGCTGGGCTGCTAATCAAGAAGGTCAGTGTTTGGGGTCCGTCAACTGCTCCCCAGGAGGAAAAGTGAGGGGGCCTGCTCCCCTAAAGAGTTATAGTCTTAGAACTCCTTTGGGGGCAGCTCTTCTCTGCCCTGTAACGCTGGGCTGAGTCTGAATGACTCATGGAGCGGTGGCTGGCGCAGCGGTTTGAGCGCTCAGCTGGTAACTGAAAGGAGGTGGTTAAGCCCATCCCCACCAGCTCTACCCTGGCCCAGGGGGCACGCTGAGTCACCCCATGACGGCGACGGGGAGCTCTGAGAAGCCTTGAACCACACATGCATAGCGTTGCAGTCCTCATCACGGTGCTGTGTCCCACGTGGCTCATGTTAGCAGGCATTGTGTATGTTCTCCCATGCGTGTCCTGGGCCTTGACCTTAACCTCCCTGGGCCAGAGTGAAGGTCTTTCACAAGATGGGCTGAACTCTCAGGATCTGAAGAGGAGCCAAAAGAAATGGCAGGACAAGGCTAAGAACTTTGTCTTCCTGGGTCCTTGGAACCGACTTGCCGGACCTGAGGTGGCTTTTCTCCGTGGTGTTTGTGGTTTAGGGGAGCCGTGAGTTATGGGAGGGGTCAGCCCACTCCACACCATTGCCTGCTTTTCAACCTGCAGAGGCTGCCATTGCCCTGACACTATGTCCGCGGCACTGGGAGAAGGGTGGCTTCCACACACTTTTATATGCCCCAAATGGAGATTTCACACGGTCCAGCCTGATACAAGGCGGCCCCTGGTGAAGCAGCAGTTTAAACCAATGTTAGCATGTTCGGACCGAAGGCTTGTTGGATGTCAGGTACCGATTAGAATGAATTCATTTGGGAGTAGTTGCCATTCAGGAAAGGATCAGGATCCGTCCACATAGTTAACGGCAGCCTCTCTGTAGAACATCACCAGTGTGGAAGCTGGCCCTGCTCTCCAAGCAAAACCCGCCTTGGCCCAGAGTCACCCAGATTGAGAAGGACCTTTATCATTCATCGCGAAGGCAGAGAGGCCACACACGGTGATGGAAAAGACGGCCAGGAACCAGTTTCCTAAGGCAGAGATTGAGTTTCCCTAAAGGGTGGAAGGCAGAGGCAGCAAAGGTGGGGAGACTGGTAGGTGTAGCGGGCGAGGGAGGGAGCCAGGAGGGCTTCCAGGGAGCATGTTGATTAACTTGTATGGCATGGAGAGCAGAGGGTTGAAAGTCAGCTTGCGGCCCACTGGTTTCCAGGGAGATCTGGCTGGGTCAGTCCTTTCAGGTGGTCTTCCAGTCCTGCATCCAACGCTCCAGCCAGCAGCCGGAGCCTAGCAATCCTGACAGCCAGCCACGCCTGCACACCACCAAGAGGCCAGTGTCCTCAAAACTCGGGCGTCCCCTGTTTGCATTAGAACCATCGAGGAGTGTTTAAAAGTACAGAATAGCCAGCATCTCTCCAGAGCTGCTAAATCAGAACTTCTAGAAGGCAGGACTTGGAAACGTATTTTCCCCAGATTTTCTAAGTAATTCTTGGTGGGCTAGCATGTGAGATCCACTGCTGGATAAATGACGAGCCTCTGCGAACGGAGCCCCTTACGTAATTGAAGGGTCTTGAAGAACCCTACTGCTTAGACCCACGAGGGAGCTTACCCAGAGGTCCTCCAGCACCAGAAAGCAAGGAAGCCAGCCGTCAGCAAAGAGCAGGTGAGCCTGGCCCCCAGGCCTGAGCAGCAGAGCCGTGGGCTAGAGGTGAGAGTTGGGTTCGCAGGGCTAGTTCAGTAGACCCGTCACTGGGCACGTAGCACCCCCATTTCTGAATAGCTTTGCCCTCATCTTTTTCCCACTGAGTTTAGATCAGTGGGCCTCCCACCTGTAACCAAGCTCCCCAAACCAAGTGTGCACACATCTCTCGCTCCCTCCCTGGAATGTGAATGCTGAGCAGACACACAAAGATGGTCGGCACCCCATTCCGTCTGGCTCATCATGAGCCCTGTCTAGGCACCACTGTGGGTCCTGCTTCCTGATTTCCCAAGCCCATTCCCAAGTCCCCTTCTTTAAAAGCCTGCCATCTCTTCCAGGAGTCCCCGGGAACTCTTCACGTAAAGCCCCTTTGGCATGAGTTAGTCACTAAGGTTGACTTTTGTTGCCTGTGACCAGTGAACCTTAACTGTTCAGGGTCAGCACGAATGACCTTGGGGGCAGGGCCACCAGGGGGGTCTGGGCTCTTTTCCCGCAGAAGTCGGCTTAGAAAATAGCAGGTCCCGTGCAGCCCTGGAGAAACACATGTCACCTGAGCCTCACCGGGCATGGGCGGAAATGCCCATGGAGACATCATTCATCGTAGCAATGACACGTGCTGGCCTGATCGCCTGGGGACGGTGATCGGAGTACTTACCAGTGAACGTTGCTTCCATGCCTTCATCCTGGCCAGCTGGGGGGGCACGATGATGTAACAGACTCACTGGGTGCTCATGACTGTGTAGAGTGTTAATCAGGCGTCCTCAAACTGCGGCCCGCCGAGGACATTTATCCGGCCCGCCGGGTGTTTTTGCCCTGTTTGTTTTTTCACTTCAAAATAAGATATGTGCAGTGTGCATAGGAATTTGTTCATAGTTTGGTTTTTTTAAAACTATAGTCCGGCCCTCCAACGGGTCTGAAGGACAGTGAACTGGCCCCCTGTTTAAAAAGTTTGAGGACCCCTGGTATAAATGAAGGGTGAGTGCATCTCAGGAGATACAAAGTTACATGGAAAAGGAGCCACAGGGATACTTTATGATTCCGGGTTTTAATCTTTTTGTTTTTGAAGAGCAAAATGAAACAGCAGATTATTCGGGACTATGCAGATATTGGGTGGAACCATTAAGAAAAGCCAGGAAACAGAAGCCTGTTTTTTGGGGCGGTGTGGGAGAGAGGAGGTGGGTCTGGTGAGAGGCAGCGGACTCTTCTCTGCCTGCGCGTCCCTGTGCCTGTAGGGCGCCACGGCCCTGGCGGGGAGCTGTATCTGGAGTAACGCCGCAGAACTGTGTCTCCACGGAACAAACACCTTGGTCACTGTGTGGTTGGCCCGATTTCAGATGGCATAAGGAGCCACCAGCAGTGGTTCAAACCCACCAGCCGTGCTTGGGAGAAAGATGAGGCTGTCTGCTCCCATCATGGGAAATCCCGTGGAGTCGTTTCGCTCTGGCCCGAGAGGTGGCCAGTGAGGTGGCCATGGGTTCAGTTTGCATTTGGTCATTTAAGCATACGTTCTTGAGACTCATGGGGGAGTTATGTTCGTTGCTGCAAGTGGACGCGTCAGATATGAGAGAAGCACCATTCGTTCTGACCTTCAAGAACCAAGGGGCTTTTAGAACCTTTGGCTCCTGATTTGGGTTGCCCCGAACCTATGGACCGGGTGGATGTTACCGGAAGCTGAGGGAACTTAGCCCGAAGATGAAAATCTCTCAAACTGTGAAATAACAGATGGGTGGACTCTTAACCATTGCCATCAGATGGTCTTAGGAAAAACCCTGCTGACCCCTGAGGTTGTTAGGAAACCTTATCGCAGTCTTTCACCCACATGGGACTGTCATTTCAAAACCACGCGTAGTTCATGGTAAGTCGGGGTTCAGAGTGGCACCTTTTGTTTCTGGGGAAGCCCTTCTGCTATAGCAATTCCAGCCGCCGGCTCCCGAGCGCTTTGTTCAATGACGTGTTCGGTCTTTCCTATGTAACGTCTGTGACTTTTCCCACAGTGCTCTGCCTTCGTTCTTTCCTGTGTTACTGACGTGGGTTTATCTTTTCTCCTTAGAGAGTTTTGAGGTGGCAGTCACCAAAGAAGGTGATCAAGGGGTCTTTCTATCCCTCTTTTGACATTAACCCACTAACTTTGTTTATAAAATTGGGAATCAGCCCTTGAACAGAAGATATTGTCATGCTCTTTTGCCCCTATTTTTCCTATTTGTTTCTTCTGTTTTTAAAAATTATATCTATAAATTGATGGAACTTGTATGTAACCAAACCCTTGGTTAGAAATATCTGGAAATCAGACATCCATTTGAACTCCAGGGATAGTACCATACATTAAGCACATAGAGAAAAAAGCGGGTACGTTTTTAAGAGAATGTTCGCTCCATAACCCTTTCCTATTAGCGGAGACCACGGGAGGCACCCAGACCTATTTCCATATGAAAGACGTTTTGTGATGTTTTATACATAGCTCATCAAAACAGTGCCCGTAATTCCCCATGGTGGGGCAAGCTCGGCAAAAAGAAAACCAGGGTTTCTCTCCTGTGGAAGCTGGTAAGTCCCCGTGGACTGAGGCAGGCCTCCTTTTCGGGTTGGTGGGACGGTCTAGGAAAGAAGAGCCTAGCAGCCCCCCTGCCCCCCTAGAAGCTGTACCAGCAGCAGTAGACCCACTGTTGAAATGGATGCCTGAAGAGGTGGTATTTCTACCGTTGCTCCGGAGCACTTTCCTTTGATTCCCTAATTTTAGCCGGGCTCATTGCACAGGAAGACTTGCTGCTTCTGAATTCTGTCGTTCTGATGCTGAACCTCGATCTCACGACACTCTACCCGCGTGCTCTCGCCTCCTCTCTGGTCCAAACCCAAACCGCTGACCCGCCCGGCTCTCGCCAGCGGGCAGGCAGCCTCTGGGTTGTGAAGGAGGCCTGGCTGTTTGCTAATGAGACCGACTTTGACCGTAGAGCCACCCTAAGTACTCCTGTGAAATGCCTGTGTGTCTCCTCTCTCTCTCTTGTACTCCTGCATGAATGGATGCAAAGTTAAACGAGTGGCTTGGAAAGTCAGAACTTGCTTCCTTTTACTAAAGCGCCCCCCACCCCCTGACCTGTGTGAGAGCACAGCCCTGCTTTGTCCACAGCCCTCCAACCCCCTGGCTGCCGAATTGTCCTTTGTTTTCCTTTGGGGTCTGGGGGCTAGGGAAGGGTGGGTGGGGAGATGTGGACAGTCCGGGCGGCCGCAGTTCTCACCTCTCTTGCTTTGACTCCCCAGGTGAGATTTGCAGATTTAAAATTCACGGGCAGAACGTGCCCTTTGAAGCCGTGGTGGTGGATAAGTCCACTGGCGAGGGGCTGATCCGCTCCAAAGAGAAGCTGGACTGTGAGCTGCAGAAGGACTATACATTCACCATCCAGGCCTACGACTGTGGCAGGGGGCCCGATGGCGCGGAGGTGAAGAAGTCCCACAAGTAAGTCAGCAGGCAGGCAGCCTGCGGCCGTCACAGTGTGTGCGCGCGGGGGTGTGTCCTTGGCTCGGGGCCCCAAGGTATTCTGCGTTTATGGAAGGTATGAGGCACACCATAGTTCTCATCCTTTGTGCACAATTCGATTGCACGCTCTTTGAGGACAGGGAGCTCGTCGGTGTGTTTACTCCTGTCGGGCGCATCTTACGTATTGCATTAATACTGCATAATTCTGTCCCGCCAAATGTTTCCACTCGGGAAATTAGGACTCTTCACGGAGAATTCCAAAGAGACAGGCCGCCCCTTCTTCCCATATGTCGTGTGGACTTGCTGCTCTCACTGAATCCGGGAGGCGTGACTCTGGTCCCCAGCTGTCTGTCAGCAGGCACTTGCATTTGTACCCCATCCTGGCTACACTTCTATGACTCCCACCAGGTGCAGGTGACTGGGGTGGAGAAGGTGCTGAACAAGACAGGAATGAGAATTCACTCCTTCCCTGCTTACTAGCTGTTTAACATCAGGCGGATACTATCCTTGGTTGAGTCTCAGTTTCCACCTCTTCTAAGAAAGCAGGTGTGGGTGGGTGAGGTGAAGTCACGTGACCCACGTTGTCGGGTGAAACCCGGTGGCTCTGGTCTGTGGAGGCTCTCAGAAGAAGTACCACTGATGCGTGTCGGGGAATCCCCTGTCCTCTCTTCCCATCAGGTGAGCCTGGCGGTGTGGATCAGAGCAGAACCAATCCTGGGGAGCAGCCCTTGAGCCCCCCACCAGCTGCCTTTGTTTGTAGGCTAAGCTGTTGAGGGACGAGCAGGCTCAGGGTGGCCCTTTCAATGTGCAGCCACGGTTGAGAGTCGGGAAAGCAAACTGACGGCACCGGGTAGATGAGTCCGACTACCCCAGTCCCAGGGCCCTTCCGTGGGAAAAGGCCACGGTTGTAGGAGAGATCCTGTCGCAAGACAGCCCCTATATGAGTCATGGGCTGCCCCAGAGGAAGAGCCCAGGTGGCAGCAAGGCTATGGCCTCCCCAGTGTCCTCTATTCATTGGACCAACCGTGGGTGGCTATCCCAGAATTAGCCTGACAGTCTCATGTTCTTCCTTAAAGTAGGACTGAACTTGTGTCGACACGCACGGCCCTCCTCTCTTAGCTCCTTACCCGTCCTTCCAGATATTGTAACAGAAACGTCTGTTATAAACTCTGATTAGAAAGGAGCCGGCAGGCGATGGGGGTGGCCACCCTGCTGCAGGCTCTGACACAGGGGCCCTTATCTTGCTAAAGAAGGTCCCTTGTGAAACTCCCTGCCGTCAGACCGATGCCGCTCCCCGTGACTCATGGGACGAGTGGAATGGCCAGACTCTTCACAGAAGTGGAAGGCGCCACCTTTCGCCCTCAGAGGCTGGCTGGTGGTTTCAAACTGCTGACCTGCGGATCACAGCCCAACGCCACCAGGGCTCTTTAAAGAAAATCCCTAGTCTCATATTTCTGATACATGTATTTTTAAACCAGCTGGCTTATCCTTAAGATTTGCAGGGCACCCAGCCCAAATCCCTATTTTAGTTGTTTGTTGTTTGCACCCTTTATGAAGAGCAATGGGGAGTCACATGGCCAGGTTCATCACATGGATTCCCCGTAACATGTGACCTGAAGAAGGGCATTTAAGAGCGGGGCAGGTAACCCTAGACGGCTCCATCCCTTACTGCAGGAGCAGTAGTGGACAGGAATGCTAAGATAAACAGGTGTGTGAGTTGTTGGGTAAGCGGGACCCAGGATTGCAGCTCTGGTTGAAAGGGGACTGCACTGACGGTTCATGACAGGTCCTTCCCCCGCTTACCTGAGGGAGTCATCTGCTCGGGATCCCTGTCAAGTCTTGTGACTCTCTATATGTTGTTTGTTCGGGTTTTTTGGCGGGGGGAGGGGATTTATCTATACAAGGTAGGCGGGATAGGTAATCTTACAGAGATAAGTGATTGGTCCGACAATTCCTGGGAGGGGAGGTGGGAGGGGGATGAGCGGGGAGCCAACAATGATAGGTACAGGGCAACAGTAAGTATTCTAAAATTGATGGCGAGGAGGACGTACCTTTTCTGGTTGTGTTTGACCAATCAGATTGTATCTGAGAGGAATTACTGAGAGGTGAAGGATGAATAAACAATATAGTGGAGTAGGAGGAAAGAAAGAGGAAAGAAGAAAAAACATGTATGTATATATGCTTGTTTATGTATGTATATTATGCAAATGCAACAAGGGAGCAGATGGACTTTGGGCCTCGGCTTAAATCCTAACCTCAGTACAAGAACTGTTTGTTCTAATAATGCGACATTGTATGATACCTTCCTGACACGATCGCTGAAGACAAAACGGGTGCAGAAGCAAAGGTGGTGAACAAAGCTGATGTGGCCCAGCTGTTAAAAGATACAGCACCTGGGGTCCTAAAGGCTTGAAGGTAAACAAGCGGCCATCTAGCAGGGAAGCAACAAAGCCCACATGGAAGAAGCACACCAGCCTGTGCGATCACGAGG